CCCCACCCCTTCACAAGTAATTCCAGTGCCTAAGGCGGAAGGCCATTGAAAATGTCAGAGGAATGCAACATGCTTCAGCGGCAAGTCAAACTATTGTTAAAGGAGCACGTTTACCAGGCAGTGACCGCACCTTAACAACAAAATTTTTGGCTTCCTGAAGGAGCTTGAGTTTGAGTTCTTTTTCAAGGAGTGGGTACAGCATCTGATTAAAGGCTCGTGAGAGGGCATTTGTTCTCTGTGTGTTCCACTCTTGCACTAGATGGCTAAATTCATCCTGAAAAAAAGTAGAAAGATATTTTCAAAGTCCAGACTAAGTTCCGATCAGAAGCGGCTTACACAAGACAGCTCATCCGAGATAAGAACACATTTTGTCTCACTATTACGCAAATTCACCATATTTGGGCAAGAACGCACAAAATACGAGGCGGCAAGACACTGTAAAGCGGGATAAATTACTGACCGATCACGAAGCGATAATATGGCTGGACCAAACACAACCTCGTTCACAGAGTTTCTAGACTCTCGCTCCAAGGGGCAGGAAGATGAGAACCCTGGGAACGAGCTTGAAACAAACAATGAAAACTTTAACTTGCTCACATCCTTAAAGGTTATCATTTGATCTAATACCAAATTCTCTGATCTAACGTAATGACAAACAAGTGAGGAGAAATACTAATGAATCTCTTGGGAGTAAAAGTATTCAGATTTTGTTCTCTTTTTATTTTTGTGACAATGGGCACTCAGTTGGTTTCATTCGTGTTGTTTCCATGTTTCACACGCGACTTATGCGGTCGATGCGATTTTCAACTAATTTTGACAATTATGATCAAATGTACTTGGTAATCAAAAGACAGTTGAATAATAATAATAATCTTTCAGAGAAAAATGTCTTTTAATTTTGAGACGGGCGTACGACAAAGAAAAATGTCCGAGTCCCCACAAAGAACCCAGACTCCTCATGAGGGGCCCTCGAGTGTAAAAAAAAAAAAAAAAAAAAAAAAAAAAAAAATAACCCCAAAAAAAAAACAAAAAAAAAAAAAAAAAAAAAAAAAAAAAAAAAGTAAAAAAAAAAAAAAAAAAAAGAGGGGAGAAAAAAACAACGGACAAAAAAAAAAAAAAAAAAAAAAAAAAAAAAAAACACAACAAAAGCACAAAACAAAAAAAGAATGACAACGCTAA